TTGGAAGGTTACTTTCGCCCAATAGAATAAAGAGGCGTTTTAAGTCCATACTTTATTTTATAATAATGTTTATTTGCAGCTAACATTAAATAAGTTACAAATCGTCTATTTAAGTTTAATGTATCTAATAAAATGTTTGAACGGAGTAGATGTCACTCTGCTATGATTATATATATCATGGTATGTATATTATTTTTACTTTTTATTCAATCCTTTTTCCTTAATAGAAAAATCATCGGTTACGGATCTTGCCCTAAGTTATATCGTCGCGAAGTAGGGACCAGTGCCTGTAATCTGTAGACTGTATATAAGTTTCGTATGGATTATACAGCAAAGAGTATTATTATATAGTGAAATATCATTTATATGTTTAACATTACGAACTGCGTAGTTAGTATGCTGGTGCTTGAAAATAACGCAGACTATTCCAAGAAAATTATGACAAGGCTTACGTCAATTTCTATTAGCATTGGTAACAGACAATGCTTTATTTATTATATATTCCTCGACTGTCCAATAACCACTGTAGATTAGACATAATTGGCTTGGTTCGTCATCGTCACTGAATACCCCACTTGTGAAGGTTTAATTTTTTGTATACTAAACTTCCTTTCGTTACAGTTACGTAGATTTTTTTATGTGATAAATTGGCAAACGAGCCGGCGGTTCACCTGATGTTAAGTGATAACTGCCGCCCATGGATATTTGCAATACCCGTAGGGTTGCAGATGCGTTGCCACCTCTTAATAATGTGGGCCCCGGCTACCTTACTCACCAGACGAAACGTAGAAGTGCAACACTTCTACTTTACGCAGGTCTTCTGTGAGGTCGTGGTACTGACCAGGACGGACTTGCCCATTCGTGCAACAGCGAAGAATGTGTAGAACCTTTAATAAAGTGGGTCCCGGCTACAACGCAGAAGTGTAACACTTCCACTTCACGCCGGCCTTCTTTGAGGTCCTGGTACTAACCCGGACGGACCTGCCACAACACTGATCCGTGGCCCCACCACAATAAAATCTTCATGCTAATAACGTAATTGGTCTTGTTACATTAATTTATAATACACTTTGTTTATATTTTCACTTACGGTAATAACGCTGTTATGCAGTACCGAATTTAAATTATGATACATTATAACTTTCATCATTAGAAACAGTGAGAAATAAAATACATTAAACAGGAATATATTAAGGAAATCAATAAAACGTACCTATATAATTAATTTACTCTAACTTTTCCCTATGGAATTGTGTAGTTTTACGGTTAACATCAATTTCTTCAAAGTTTTTGTAAAATGTATGAACCAAAATAATATTTGTGAAATGTCTAAACTTAGGCATATCGATGCTTCATCATCATCATCATTTCGCCTGTTTTAGTCCACTGCTGAACATATGCCTCCCCCACAAACTGCCACGAAGCACGATCCTGTTCCATCGAATTTACTCACATTTGCACAGGTCATCTCTCCATCTAGTGAGTAGTCGTCCTACACTGCGATGGCCAGAACGTGGCTGTTATCGAACTATGTGACCGGCCCATTGCCACTTTATCGATGCTTACTTTTTCCAACCTGCATTTTATTATTATTGTATAACGGCATAACTTTTCATGTACGAGGTTCCATTGAATGATATATTTGTAACTAAAATTGAGTTATGACTGAATTATGTACAATATTATTATACCTATCGCTTTTAATTTAAACGGTCTTGTCCTAAAATTGTTTTTTGACTATATTCTATACATCATTACCACATATATTTTAAACGACCTTGCCCAGTAAAAAAGTCTATTTATGACATGGCCTTGACACCATATGCAGAAAACAAGAAAAGATAAGATAAGCTAATTTAGCCTTTAGATACTGATAACGCCTTTATCTTTATCCATATCAATATCAAAATACGATACAAAGTGATATTTTAAATAGATAATATTATGCTTTTGCAATATTGGAGAATCTGTTTACTTATTATTTCTACGAGTATATTCCTTGAAAATACTTAGAAAGTGATACAAAATCACATCGCAATAGGTTGGTGCAAACGGAAGCCTTAAATTATCATAGGGTTGTTGAATTTTCTTTGGTACCTATAGATTTTTTTTATGTGAGAAAGTGGCAGATGAGCTGGCGGTTCACCTGATGTTATGTGATAACCGCCTGCCCATGGACATTTGACACCCATAGGGTTGCAAATGCGTTGCCACCTCTTAATAATGTGGGCCCCGGCTACCTCACTCACCAGACGAAACGCAGAAGTGCAACACTTCTACTTTACGCCAGTCTCCTGTGAGGTCGTGGTACTGACCAGGACGGACCTGACCATTCGTGCAACAGCGAAGAATGTTGCGCGGCCCTACCGCAGTATATCCACCGCGATACCAATGAAGTGGTACTTCGAAACGGTCCGCTCTGAATGTAGACCGTTCGTACCATTCGTACCATATATGGCCACTTCGCGCATTGTGCACATATTCACTCACAGACGGACTTGAACTTACAGCTTTTGAAAATGTCCATGGACTGCGGCTATCACTTAACATCAGTTGCACCGCCACCAGCTATCTTGACACATTCTCAGATAAAAAAAGACAACTTTGATTAATTATATAAGGGACTTATTGTTTTGCCTTCTGGTAGCGTTTTACTTGTACTGAATGTAATAAAAAAGCACAACGTTTTTTTTTAGTTTATTGTACTGCTTAGCTAGCGTTGTTTTCTTTTCAGCTATTATTCAAATCGCTTTACGTAAAGCTGTGCAGTGTGCTTTATCCAAGCAAGCAGACTGCATAATATCCAGTCTACAGAGTAACACATTAATTCAGCTTGAGTAAATGTATGCAAAGTAACGATGTTTATAGCATGAGATGGAATACCGTTGTACAATATGTAATCCGCTTGTTAAATAATATATTTAAAAAGAAAGAAAGAAACATTTATTTGGCACATAATAACAAAATACAATAGATACTAAAAACGAAATACATATAATTAAAATGAACCAAGGCCAACTCAGCTTTATATCACGAAGTGGAGACAACCTTCGTGAATGCTGGTTTTCAGTGGAATATTTTACTAATTTTAGTGCGGTTAGGTTTATCAACAACATATTCCGGATATTAGGTTAATTTTTAAGAAACTGGCCCGCGCTTGGCCCCTATTCCACCAAGTGGTAATCCTCCTACGTCAGGAGTCCTGTATGTACTAAACACTAGGTCAGTAATATTAGATAAAGGTTTATGATCTCTGGACTAAAAGCGTGGCGTAAATTAATACACGATTACCAGATATAAGGTCAATAAAAGCCGATTCACTATAGCCTCGAAGTCGAAGACGCCTACGCTGTATTCGGACGGAAAGATAGGCGCCGGCAAATTGTTCCATTCCTTCTCAGTACTCGTAACGATCGACAAAGCAATGGGCTTGTTTCGAGTGTGGAATGTCGAAAACAAACAGATGGAGCCGCGACAAACGTTCGTCCGGTGATATAAAAGTGAGGGCGAAATCGATTTGTGTAATTCCAACGTACAATTCAGAAATGAATTCGAATTTCTAATTTCTGTATATAGAGCATTTAATTCGAACTTTCTCTATATTTGTGGGCGCGTTTGGAAAAAAAAAATAAGAGAGTTAAATCTTTATGATGCGCGCCGACCATCAAAAGCGACGTGATGGAGTTGGCTGCAATTCTACCAACTTCATCGTGCTCGGTCGCCATGGCAATGATACAGCATTAGCATGACTAACAATATCAGCTTTCCTTTTACCAATAATTTCAAGTTATCTAAATAAAGCGTTAACAATTGCATTTAATGTCTTTACGCTAAAAGGCTACAACTTCTTACGTGTGTACATAAGTACATATATCTTTTTTCCTTTTCTCCTGTCCTTAGCCCCACCACGTAAGTTCGGCACGATATGCGAATTACGTTTTTAGTGGTATTGGATAGGTTTTTTACGGCTGACCGCCTGCTTAAATTCAACCGTATTTAGGAACAAACACCCAGACCCACAATTATCTGTGAACCACACAGACATTTGTCCCATGTGAGAGTCGAACCCACGACCAATAGCTTACCAAATGCACCTGCGAGCGATTCGAGCTATTCTTACAAATAAGTTATTATTAATTTTATATTAAGAAATTATACATTAGCTTATTAAATCAAATTGGCATATTCGGAAACAAGGTAATGTTCACGTGATGCTATAGCGTTGATTTTAACACGAAGCCTCTAAATTGCCTTCTCGCGTAAGCCAAGTAAGTAAACAGGCGCGGTCTATTTAGCCGCGGCTGTGTCAAAGAGTAATTGCTTCCGAAAACATCAAGGGAATGTGTGTCAAGGCACGGAGAGTAATTGCGCTCCAAAGGTTTCAATTTTTAGGGTTCCGTACCTAAAGGGTAAAACGGGACCCTATTCCTTTATAATACTTTCTATTACTAAGTCTCCACTTTTTGTCTGTCTGTCTGTCTTCTTTCCGTCTGTCTATCATGACGGGTATCTCATTAATCGTGATAGTTGAAATTTTCACAGGTGATGTATTTCTGTTGCTATAGCAACAACAAATACTAAAAAAACTGAATAAAAAATATTTTAGTGGTGCCCCTACACAACAGACATATTTTTTTGCCGTTTAAATAATGGTACGGAAACCTTCGTGCGCGAGTCCGACTCACACTTGGCCGTTACGACAGTTTTATTCTACTGAATTATTATTTCGCTGCTGATGTATGAATGACATTAAAAAGAAGGTGAATCATTCTGTAATATAAAGCTCGACGAGCTTCTTTACGGGTCTAAAAATTTCAGATACCTTAAGTTAATTTAACGAATAAAAATGAATTGCTTAATTCCTGAAAACTTTTAGTTTTGTTCTTGAAATTTAATAACTAAAGTTTATTTATCGTTTCTCGATTTCGAAAGTTTTCTCGATTTAAAAACGTTTTTTTATCTTGATTTCGGTTAACCAAAAGCATTTTTTTCCCGGTTTGATGGCATTAAAAATTAAAGTAGTTTTTTTTAATGTTATCCTGGGGGCGGCCATACAGACTGGCACGCAGGCGGCCATATACCCAGGCACGGCCCTGCTAGTGAGTGAAATATTTGAAGTAGGTTTTGTTCTTGTCACTAAAACGTTACTTGATGCAGCAGCTTTGGCTGTTGCACGAATGGGCAGTCTCGTCCGGGGATGTACCACGGCCTCGCGGAAGATCGGCGTGAAGTGGAAGTATAATAGTTTCGCGTTTCGTTTGGTGAGCGATGCAACCGGGGTCAACTTATTTTGAAGGTTATCGATGCATCTGTAAGCCCTCTGTTGTTGTATTTGTAGATGTCCATGAGTGGCGGTAATCACTCCGGGCGAACCGCCTTCTCGCTTGACATTTTTCCACATAAAAAAAGTTGTTTTTTGTGAGAGAACTTATGAAATTGGCCGGTACTCAACCGCCAACCGACGAGATGGTGGGTGGCCGTAGGTGGTAAAACAAACTAGCTCAGCAAAAGCATCGATTTGATCTTGAAAACTTCAACGTTACAATCGAATGGAAAAGCATACGCCAGCGGGTGACGTATACGTTCCTTTGCTGTAGGTACTCAAAACCAATGCTGACGTTTAGTTTGAGTGCGTGGCATGTCGACAGTAATAGGATATTTCTAATTTAAGGTAAACATATAACCATGTAAAATTATGTGTGAAAGTATATGAGAAACAATTTGGTAACCTTGTTTTAGAGAGCACTTCCAATTCTAAGGCACGAATAAGATCTGCTCATTGTTCTGCCTAAAAATGGGTCGATGAACCAAATGGTATGTGCTGTGCTTCTGGAAAAGTTAGTCTCCCCAATATTGAGGAGCCGCAACAGCCAATAAAAAATCTTTTGATAAATAATCATTCACCATCTGAACATTTTTAACCAACATCCGAAAGTACAATAGCCTCTTTCAAATGACTTTGTTTGACGCGAACTTTTAAAATAGAGGGACAAGAATACAATTCATCATCATCTTCCTGCCTCTATCCCACCTAGGTGGGGTCGGAACAATATGAATCATGTTGTAGGCGGTTTTGGCCATATTTTTACAACCAGCCGCCTGCCTGACGTTAAACCTCCTTGGGAAACAAACACCCAGATCAATTTAACTTGTGTAACTATCACGGTTCATGAGATACAGCCTGTTGACAGAGGGACAAACAGACAGCGGACGGAAAACGCCACCCTATTACTAAGACTCCGCTGTCCGTCTGTATGTCCGTATGTCTGTCCATATGTCACCAGGTTGTATCTCATGAATCGTGATAGTTAGACAGTTGAAATTTTCACAAACTATGTATTTCTGTTGCCGCTATAACAACAAATACTAAAAAACAAAAAAAATATAAATAAGTGGGGCCTCCCATAAAACAGACATGACTTTTTTTTGCCGTTTTTATAGATAATGTTGACAGTAGTAGTGTTTTTGACAATATGTAAGTGTAATACTTCTATATTGAATAAAGATAATAAAACATGATTTTTTTTAATGGTGATAGAGTGATAAAGTGGCAAACTAGCTGGCGGTTCACCTGATGTTAAGTAATAACCGCCGCCCATGGACATTTGTAACACCTGTAGGGTTGCAAATGAGCTGCCATCTTTAAATAAAGTGGGCCCTGGCTACCTCACAGACGAAACGTAGAAGTATAACACATCTATTTTACGCCGGTCTCCTGTGAGGTCGGTACGGAACTCTGCGTGTGCGAGTCTGACTCGCACTTGGCCGGTTTTTATTCAATGCATTGTCGATATAATGGCAAAAAGATATCATAAAGATTGAATTACATATGATTTCGTAATCACCAGAGACTGAGGACTGGTGAAACATTCATGACGCTTTAAATCAAGACATTGGCTCATCAAATATCGGTCAACAAAAAAACCAAAGATGCGATGATTTATGACCGAAGCTATGGGAGACCAGACTTCTTTGTCACTTTTACGTGGTCAGCGATCTTTCGATCTTCATGACGTAATTTCAAGGGTATTTCATTAAAAGATGAAGAAATTCATAAAATTATTCACCAAAGATGAAATATTCGGAATATTTTATGTGTATGATGATTTTTAGTTTTAAAAATTTTGTTAAATACCCGTGCGAAGCCGGGGCGGGCCGCTAGTATTTTTTAAAACAACAAAAAGTTTTCCGTATATTAATATCTGTGAAGATAAATAAGAGAATAAATAAGAATTTAAATATGAGATATTTTTAACGACACAACATCATTTATGTGTTTCTTGGTTAATTTTCTTATCATGTTGACAGAACAAGCTTACTTAGAAGTAATATAAGTGTTGCCAAATTTTATCTTGTGTTAGCTTTGTTTCAAAATAAAACAGAAAATCTTTTATTACTCTAGTATTGATGTTTATCGCCATAAAGTCACATGAAGATGTTTTTTTTTTCGCGCGAATTTTACCTCGGCGTTAAAAGAGACTCGGCTTTGTCACTACTTTAAAAGGCGCCACAATTTTTGCGATTAAAAATTCGTCTATGCGTCGTATTCCGCACAAGAGCTCGAGACATTCGTCATTCATGTGGCGTGAATTTTTTGCCCGTCTCTCTTCGCGCGATCCACAAATGGCGGCCTTTAAGAGGAACGAGATTAAAAGATTCTCTAGAACCCTTTGAGTTGGTGCGTATTGTTTTCGCGCTCTTTTTTTATTTTGGCCCACCCGAGCGCCTTTGGAAGAATACATACATCAATGAGTTTCGTTCCCGTTTATTGTGTTGTTTCCGCTGATCTTTGTACCGCAAAGGGCGCTGGCATGGTATAACATACGAACCGAGTTCGATGACAGCTGTGAAAAATTTGCGTGTTTTTTTTTTAAAGGTTGGATTGTTGTGATGTGATTATTAAGAAATGCCAATGCGCCGGAAGTCGATGCATGCAGGTAATGATGACGATGATAATTGTAATAAAAAATAAATGTCGTACCTACATTACCCAGCCTTTATTCTGACCCCAGAATCAGTGGACAGGTAAACCCCAATACTGGGGCCGAAATAAAATAATATACATAAATTCAGTCATGATACATCAGAATGTAAAAAATTCCCGTATAAATTTGGATGCCTGCTATCGAAGATCTGCATCAGCGCGTTTGCCATCAACGGTTGCATCGTCTTCAAAGGATCTAGTAATCAAACATTTTTTTACATTTGAATTCTAACCGTCGACAAAAATTTTAAAAGGTCCTAAAGACGCGTCACACCCAAAGCCTCTCGTGTTGGTGACTAAGCATTATGTATGCACGTCTTATAATTAATGCAGATGCCATTTGTATACCACTATTCATTCCTCGTTTCGGCGTACCCCATATGTGGCGCCTAACTAATGATAATTGATATCTAGCTATTGTTCTTGTGAAATAATTGCTTGTTAGTGCATTGTTAACCAGATACGCTAGTGCGTGGCGCAGCTTTTACGCCCTTGCACTAAGCTGTATTGAAAAAAATGTTACAGTTGGATTTAACCACGAATTATATTTTAGTATATGAGCATCTAGGTTTTTACCGATAACCTCGTATCGCAACCATGATACTAACGTCTGTTTATGTTATTACCATGTATTAGAATATAATTAAATCACTTGATAATTTCGATAAATTACGCGTGGTGGCGACTGGTGTTGAATATCAAAATTATTGGACCAAAATCCGTTTACACAATTAATATATGCAATTCTTCTTCGTAAATAGTTATACAATGTGTCTTTACCATCGCGACAATAAATTAACACACATATAGAGGATAACTTTTTAAAATTGTATTAAACATTTACATTCTTTAAACATCAATATTAACCGAGTTATTAAACTTTCCAAAACAAAGAATTTTAGAACATCCTTATGTATAAAACTGTAACGTAAAGTTCATTTATAAAGGTCACAAAGCATATGAATGGGTTGAATGAATTTAAAAGAGACAAAACATACTACCGTTAGAAGGAGAGGCTTGTAATGCGGCGCTGTGACAACGAATGAAAAAGGCTCTGAATGTATGAATCAGTCAGTTGTAGTTGTATAGGATGTTACAAATTTTGTTTCTTTTTTACTGAATTAGTTTGTTTGAAAAATTTTTTTTAATTATGCATTTTTTTAATGTTAATATTTTTTATGATTATTGGCAAGTAGCGTTAGACGTGTGTTCATTTATTGTCGCGGTGGTAAAGACACGATGTATATTTTATACGATGATAGGGCTACGCTACAGTTTTTGATTGACGATTGACTTGGTCTGTCCGGGTAAGTAGTACCTATCACGATCACACAGAAGAACGACGTGAGGTGGAAGTTTATACTTCTGCGTTGCGTCTGGTGACGCAGCCGGGTCTCACTTTATTAAAATGTGTTTATCACTTAACCGCCAGATCGTTTGATACCATCTTATCATCGATTCATTTATCTATACTATACTAATCGAAGATTATACAGTACTAGCTGCTACGCAGACGTAGTCGCACGTCTGCGTAGAGGGGTGAAAATTTAGGGTTGTATGTATTTTTGTATACTGTATCATAAAAAAATAAAAACAAAAATTTTATTTAAAAAAAAATTGGGGTGGACCACCCTTAACATTGAAGAGGATGAAAAATAGATGTCCGATTTTCCACCCTGACCGATATGCATATGCACACAAAATTTCACGAACATGGCCGTTTCGGAGGAGTTCAATTACAAACACCGTGACACGAGAATTTTATATATTAGACAGATAATTGAATCGATGTGTATGAAAATATCTCTAATAATTAAAAAATCATATTCAACCTAAAAGGTTTTTTTGTTGATTCTTTCAATGAAGATGTGGTTAAAATTTTTGTTTTCTTACCGTTCCAGGTGATAGTAGAGTCGCACAAGGAGCTAAGATGTCCGGAATGTCGGGTCCTGGTCGAGGCGAAGGTGGAGGACCTGCCGCCGAACGTCCTCCTCATGAGGATCCTGGAGGGCATGAAGAATTCCGCGCCGAGGAAGCTGAGCGTGGTGCAGCGAACGCCAAGGAGTGCTGCTCACTCGCAGGTGATTAGTTTGCTCTCAAGCTTGCGCGGACCAGAACTTGCATTCCCATCTGTCTCATCAATATTATTGTTTTATTTTTTCTCTTTATTTGATGGAGGGGGACAGTTCACAATTGAAGACGTAACCCCCATTATAACAACCAAATACAATATTTAATAACACGATAACGTTAAACAATAGCATAACCAACGGCTCTTTATTCCTGAATACCATTGGTTAATAGCAATTATCGACGAAATTCTTTCTTGATACGATCGTGCAACTCATTCAATAATATACCGCCTACACATTAATTTATACTTTACCAGCGTTTCTCATCTCGAGAAGCTGATCTCCGACAAATACGTTTCTAATATTTATTTTATTTTATTTAATAATTTATGTACATCGTGTATATAAAGAGAAATGTTATTACAAGAAAAGATTTGTTAAAAAAAATAAGCCCGTACTTATTTGTTGAGAAATCTTTGTTTTTTATGCGAAAAGTTGCCAAGCGAGCAGGTGGTTCTTCTGATGTTAAGTGAATACCACCGCCCATGGACATCTGCTACACCCGACGGTTTACAGATGCTTTGACAACCTTTGAAAATTGGGCTCCTTCTACCTCATTCACCAGACGAAACGCGAAAGTATTATACTACCACTTTACGCTGGTCTTCTGTGAGGTCGTGGTACTTACCCGGACGAGCCTACCCATTCGTGCAACAGCCGAGGTTGCTGCGTGGCCCTAACACCGTTAATCTCTTCCAGCTGAACTATGACTGGAAATTGGTCACACATTATAATACAGGTATATGCAATAATTATAAATATAATCGCAGTCGCGCGAGTTCAATCCCCCTCCGGGAAGTTGTATAACCTACAAGTACTTGTATTGGCTCGAAGTGTTTGTCCATATTTACAATGTGTTTGTAAAACTTCTCCGGTACACATTATGATGTAATTCTACAGCGGTGTGTCATATTCCTCACGTAGAAAATTGTCGAAAGTGAGCAAATGTAAAATTTCTGCGGTCGCAGAGTCGAGGAGTATACTGACGTTTACGCGAGCCTTTCAATCGACTGGATAATGACGATTCTTGTAACAACAGAAGACGCTGATCGACTCCACCGCATTAAAAAACTGTCATAGAGTCATTTCAAATTTTATAAAGTGTCTGAATTGAGACTGATTTTATTGAAAATTCGTTCGCAGACGCAGCAGACGGCGAGAACTGATGTGAAGCAGTTGCCGCCACACGCACGTGCCATGTACGACTATATATCCAAGGAGCCTGGGTAAGTCGTCATCTTTCTCCTGCTCTTATCCCACCTAGGCGAGATCGGCACTATGTCACTATGTGAACTATGTTGTAAGCGGTTTTATCTACGTTTTTTACGACCGGCCCTCCTTGGGAAATAAACACCCAGATCCGGAGCAATTTGTCTGTGCGTTACATAATTATTTGTCACGTGTGGGAATCGAATCCACTAACCACGACGCCAACGGCGCCACGGAGTATGCGCAAGCGTAATAAATGAGCGGGAAATAACAGGAGCCAAAGCACTGACGTCTCATTGTCCGAGCAACCTGAGCATATAGCTGTTAAGTTCCTATGGTCTCGATGCCTTAACTATCTTTTAGGTTAAAAAAAACCTTAAAACATTCCGAACACTAACAGTTTTTGTACTTAACCATAATATGTACACCTCTTTAATTGTTTAGATGCAGAAATAAAGCCTTTATTATACATACTAGCCAAAAACAGTGTCATATTTAAAGACGAACATCGTTAGTCTATCTTTCACAACAGGCACACTTACCTTATAGGTTCAGGTAAGAGCCTTATTCATACCGTTCTATTAATGTCCTTCCAGTGACCTGTCCTTCAAGAAGGGCGACACAATAATGCTGCACAAGAAACTGGACCCATTCTGGTACCACGGCGAGTGCTCTGGAAGGACCGGCATATTCCCTATCACATACGCGCAGGTTGGTACGAAGCAAGAGGCCGACATGTGAGGCACATATATTTATTGGGTCAATGGCCGCGATGGTCAATGCGAGCATGTAACGTTCCGTTAGTGCTTCTTTTTAAAAATACACACCCTTTGGCGTTTAAATTTTGAACGTAAATTAAAACGACCACTAACTTACCAGTTTTAATCTCAAAAATACATAAAATCATTAAATAGGAAGAAGTTGCAATAGTGATATTGAATTAGTTGACTTATTTCCGAATAATAAAAATCATTTAGCGAGAAGAATTAATAGTTGTAATTTAATTTTTCGCCTTACAGGTCGTCATACCACTGCCTACCCCTACCGCGCTATGCAAAGCCCTCTATGACTTCAGGATGTCCGCTCCCGACGAAGAGGGCTGTTTGGCATTCGACAAAGGTAACAATAGATCACAAATTTAGTATAGTTTTACCTCTGTCCCTCTGATGTTTCTTCTCTCTCTTAATCTAGGGGTTTGAGGTAGGGTCTTATGCACCTTGTAACTGCTTGTAAGTGACATGTACTAGGCGACAAGTTCTTAATATTCCGTTTTAGGTAGTAGGGATCGAACCCACTACACCATCATTGGTTCGTCAAATATTATCAAATAAAAAAAAGTGTGTGATATTACGTTTCAGGTGCGATAATAACCGTGCACAGACGCGTCGACGAGAACTGGGCCGAAGGGAGAATGGACCAACGCGTCGGCATCTTCCCCATCGCCTTCGTAGAACTCAACCAGGCTGCAAGGCAGCTGATGAATAGGTACCGGAGAATATCACCGTATTGAGAATGTCGCGTATTTCGTGTCTATCCGTGTTTGTATTATCGTATGTGGACAGATGGTTTTTACTTTTTTTTCTTTAAAACAAAATACTGCCCTTACTTTAGGATAATATTATCCTGTGTTGTAAGGAAGTTTTACAAACATAAATTTTACGTTGACAAACACCCAGATGCGAAACAACTATCTGTGGGTCACACAAATAGTTGTTCCGTGTGGGGATCGAACCCACGACCCCCGATGTCGAATGCGCCACAGAGTCATCAATTTAATAATAATAAATAAAAAATAATAATAGCCTTTATTCAAACAACATAATTACCTATACATTAATAGCTTTCGATTACGTTCTATCGTTATTTACTTTAATATAATACTTATAGCTTATCATTTATCTATATTTACTTTGTTTTATTCCAATTAAAAAAAAAGATTCTGTGTGCCTCGTGAAGGCAATGGCCTATCAATATACAGCGTGTCGTAACAAACGCGACAATAAATGAACACAAACAGGATAAATTTTTAAAATTATATTAAACATTTACATTCTTTAAACATCAATATTTACCTAGTCATTAAATTTTCCAAAAGAAACAATTTTAGAACACCCTCACGTATAAAACTAACTGTAAAGTTCAATTGTAAAGGTCACAAAGCATATGAATGGGTTGAATGAGTTTAAAAGAGATAAAACATACTGTTAGAAGGAGAGATTTGTAATGCGACGCGGTCGCAACGAATGTAAAAGTCTCTGAATGTATGAATCCGTCAGTTGTAGTTGTGTAGGATGTTACAAATTTTGTTTCTGTTTATTTAGGTTATAAGTTTGTTTGAAAAAAAAAAAATTTTAATTATGGATTTTTTAACTTTTATATTTTTAATGATTATTGGCAAGTAGCGTTAAACGTGTGTTCTTTTATTGTCGCGGTTGTAACGACACGCTGTATAATTAATTATGTTGTTTGAATAAAAGCCATTAGTATTTATGAAGACCGATGAACCGAGAAAGTTCGCTGTACCCACAGTTAGTGTAACAACAATCACACCAGTTCGCCCTCGCCTCCGAGCACGGCGAGACCCACACAACGCGTACACAAGGTACACCCGCGTTCCGGGGCGGTTCTCACCGCTCCCAGCCACCGATTAGCTAAATGCACAGTCGACGGCCGTCGGGGTCTCGGTCCGAACCGGCGACCTCGACGGCCCTTAGATGACACACCATAGTAGTTAAACGCACGCATGAGCACATGCGCGACCCTACCCATAGCGGAGGGTCCAAACCCGTGGGTTCTGGCTAGCCCACCGGTTCTGCGTCCGATGAAGCTTTAATAGTCTCGGGACTGAAAGCAAAAACATCAGTTAATACAAGATACAAGAAGTTCGCTGTTAGTGGCTGGATGCGGTGAGGAAAGCGGAAAATCGTGCACGGTGGCGTGGCCCATGGGGAAATCTATGACCAGCAATGGAAAAGATTGATTGAGGATGATGGTGTATTTGTTCATTTGTATAAAAGGGCTTGAGTAGTGAGTCCCAACGACCACTGCGACCTAGAACATCTATTGTGGTCTTCCCTTCGAAAACATTGCCTATTTCCTTAGTAATAATATTGTAGAGACATTTTACACGAATACATTTCACATGGACAAACACCCATTTCCGTCACACAAATATGTATCGAAGGAATCGAACCCACGACCCCGGAAGCCAACACCTCGGCAACCGCCCTACCGAGTCATCCTGTCTGCTAACTCCCCCATAACTTCGCTTCCAGCGCTCCGCTGAACCGCGCCGTGCCGCCAGTTCCGGAGCAGGCGGCGGCGCGCTCCGGCCACGCTGAGCACAGGCACCACGTGCAGCACCAGCACCAGCACCAGCACCAGCACCGCTACCAGCAGCCCGCCTCGCTGGGCTACCAGAGCCTGGCGCCGATCGCTCACCCCCACCCCCACCAGGGCTACCCCGCCGGCGTCACCACCTCGCCCCTGCCCAGGAGCATAATGGAGCCGGCCACGAACAAGCTGTCCCTCGAGCTGGTGAACTTCGTGAACGCCCACAGCAAGGGCCACCAGGCCACCATGGGCGTGCAGAGCGTGTCGCGCATCAACGAAGGTACGGTGCTATAGCTTGGGGTTACTTACGCATACGGTTTAGATACCATATCCGTATTACGAAAGCAAGCGATATAAGGGCTGTCTGTGGCTTGCGATAAGGGCTGTCTATAGATAGGTTCCACGTAAGCGGCTACGGTATCTTTTTAAGCAAATAGAAGGTATGGTGTTATACTTTGGGGTTCCGCATACGGTTTACGCACGGTGTTTGTGTTGCGAAAACAATCGGTACGGGCTGTCTGTGGATGGGTTCCGCGTGAGTCGTTACGGCATCTATTTAAGCAAATAACGTTTTACGCTCCCGTCGCTATACATACTGGAGAACATGTTTGTACGTAATAATATCCATCTTTTTACAAAAAAAAAAAAAACACCACATCGAGTCGCTCGTGGTGACACTCTGGAAGTACGGAGGTTCAGACTGGCTAAAACCAGAAAGTCGTTTCTTGGTGGTCGAATTAACTTACATAATAAAATAGGTGACATCCACAAACAACTATGTATAAACAATTTCAAACAGGGCCCATTATAATGTCGAAGAATACATTGAGGACAAGGATGTGTAGAAATGTTTGTTGCTCTGCACTTGTAAGTCCCCTAGCTTGTTTATTTTATACTTAAATAATTTTGTATACTCATATCATTAAAAAAAAAAGATATCAAGATTTCAGTCTCAGGTCTGCTTTGCTCAGGTCTAGCTTAGTTTTTCTTTTATATGAAAAGCTGCCTAGCGAGCAGACGGTTCACCTAATGTTAAGTGAATACCGCTGCTCATGGACATCTGCTACACCCGAGGGTTCCAGATACGTTGACAACCTTTTAAAAATTGGGCTCCCGCCACCATACTCATCAGACGAAACGCGAAAGTATTATAGTTCCACTTTACGCCGGTCTTCTGTGAGGTCGTGTTACTTACCCGAACGTGCCTGCCCATTCGTGCAACAGCCGAGGCTGCTGCGTGGGTCTACCACCGTGTGAGTGAACCAGTGGTGGTTATTTGATGTTCAATAACAGCATATCTTATATATAAAAATGGATTGCTGTTCGTTAGTATCGTTAAAACTCGAGAACGGCTGGAGCGATTTGGCTAATTTTGGTTTTGAAGTAATTGTAGCAGTCCAGGGAAGGTTTAAACGATAAAAAATTATGGGAAAATTGCATGAAAAATCGAAATAGCAACAAAATTGTTGCTATTTCGATTGCTATTTTCCCATACAATCTGTACCTGTCAACCTGTCAACAGTGTCTGTGTAACATGTCAAACACTTTATGCGTGCGTTCCGATTCCTCTAGATATAAATTTATATGGCAAAACAACGTTTGCCGAGTCAGCTAGTATCGAACAAAGAGATTTTGACGATCTCACTTTACAGGCTACGACCGCCTGAGGGGGGCCAAGTTCGAGAACTACTCTACGCAGGCGCACAGGCCGGAGACGGCGTACCAGAACGTGCGCGCTCACGACCACTTCCCAGTGTCCGTGGGCGGTTTCAACGCGAACAACGCCAGCTCCGACTCCAGCTCCAGCGTGAACACCCCCTCGGTGGGGGCGAGCTCCACCACCACCCCCAACACCAGCTCCGACACGAGCACCTGCGAGAGCGCCGAGCCCAGCCTGCCCGGCTCGCCGGACAACGCCGAGCGAAACTCGGCCGTGTCGACCGCTAATACGGTCCAGAGTCAAACGGCCGACGCGAGCAACGACAACCAAGAGAGCGAAACCCCTCTGAGCACCTCCATGGGGGTGCTGAGTCTCAACGAGAGCTCGACGGCGACCAACACCTCGTTGAACGTCACCCTGCCGCCGTCGGAGAGTCCAAAGTTGAATGCGTCCGCCGCTAGCAGCTGTTCGCAGAATCAGAACGATAGTCAGGAATGCGTAAGCAATAATGACCCTTCGCGACTGGACGCACCTTCCTCTTCCAAGATGAGGTCCGGATCGAGCGGACCGGACTCGCTTTTGAACTTCGGCTTGGGCCTTCAAGCGGCACTGTCGCCCTCCCACGTCAAGGACGCCAGCTATCTGTCCAGATCCCATAGGGAACATCATCACAGAGAAAGGGAGAAGAGACATAGCTTGACGCCTTCCACGCATTTGCAGGGCAACCACACGCCACAGAATAGGTACGTGGATATTTCTTTTTTTAATATATTTATTTAGGATATTTCTTTTTTCTTTTTTTCTAAAACGTAGCCCTTACTTTAGTATAACATTATCCTGTGCTGTAAGGACGTTTTACATACATAAATTTCACATAAGCAAACAACACAAATAGTTGTTCCGTGTGGGGGTCGAACCCACGAACCCCGACGCATAAGCCAATACCTTGGCAACTGCGCCACGGAGTCATCACTATTATTATCAATATTATTCTAAAAATGAATATAACTGCAAATATTAAAAAAAATTATGCATTGAAATGCTTACATGTTTTTTAGGTGCCTATACTTTATTTCTCCCATTGGGACAATATGTACTATGTTATATCACCGTATACTTGAATAAAATTGTATTTCTTATCGGCGTTTCAGGCACTCTGCTGAAATATTGGCTACTAGTCTGTTGGATCACGCTCCAGAGAGGGACAGGAAGCGTACTGAAAGAGAGGGGGAGAGGAGACGACGGCGTTCTAGGAGTAACGAGCGATCTCTGCCCGCTGCTTATATCGCTTTGTATCCGTACAAGCCTCAGAAACCAGACGAATTGGAGTTGAAGAAAGGAGGTAAAATACTTGAATAAGTATATATGATAAAAAAAATATTGCACCACCTTTAGAATATTGTCTTGTGTTGTAAAGATTCCGATATTAATCCTTAAGGGGCATCCTACATCGGGGATTTTATTGTGAGCTTCTGTTTTTGTTCCTGTTTATTATAAAACACGTTGCTTTTAGTTATTCCGTCCGCAGATGCGTTGCTCTCAACGCACCTCACGGCCGCCCTGGCGAGCTGGCGGCTCACTTGATGTTGATATACATTTAAAAAAAACCGTCGGCCCGTGCAGCGGTGTACACGGTGACGGAGCGCTGCCGCGACGGCTGGTACAAGGGGTGCTCCGAAAATGCGCAGCGGTACGGCGTGTTCCCCGGCAACTACGTGGCGCCCGCGGCCGCGCCGCAGGCCGCGCCACAGGCCGCGCACGCGCCCCACGCGCCGCACCACCACCAGCCGCGCGCCAAGCACGAGAAGGTACCTTATGCCAACGCGATAAGGATCGTTATCGCTTGAAGGAATACCGTGGTAGCGCCTCGGCCGAGCGGTTGCTCGTAATGATACCCTATACCCACGCGATAAGACTCGTTATGGCTTGAAGGAATACCGCTGTAGCGCCTCGACCGAGTGGTTGCTAGTAATAATACCCTATGCCCACGCGATAAGTCTCGTTATGGCTTGAAGGAATACCGCTGTTGCGCCTCGGCCGAGCGGTTGCTCGTAATAATACCCTATGCCCACGCGATAAGGCTCGTTATGGCTTGAAGGAATACCGTTGTGCCTAGCTCCTCGGCCGATGGCGAATACCGTTGCCTCGTAAGTGGTTGCTAATGATACCCTATGCCAACGCGATAAGGCTCGTTATGGCTTGAAGGAATACCGTTGTAGCTCCTCGGCCGAGCGGTTGCTCGTAATGATACCCTATGCCCACGCGATAAGGCTCGTTATGGCTTGAAGGAATACCGTTGTAGCGCCTCGGCCGAGCGGTTGCTCGTAATGATACCCTATGCCCACGCGATAAGGCTCGTTATGGCTTGAAGGAATACCGCTGTAGCGCCTCGGCCGAGCGGTTGCTCGTAATAATACCCTATGCCCACGGATAAGGCTCGTTATGGCTTATATGAGCGCCTACCTTGCGCTGACGCGCTGACGCGATAAGGCTCGTTCTCGCTTGAAGGAATACCTTACAGCGCTTCGTGTGGACGTTTGCACGAATGATACCTTGCGCCATCGCGATAAATTTCAAGGAGCGTTTGGCACGAAATAAAACTTTAAGGCGACGCAATATGGGTCGTTCTTGCTTCAAATAAACAAATAAATAATCAACGCCCTGAGACTTACCCACGAAAAGACGCCTTATGCGAAAGGGAAATAAGAACGTTCTCACACGAAAAAACACCATTTTAATTACATCACAAGAAAAGCTTTTGCAATGCAAGCTATGAAATATCAAAAATTATGAATTAATATTTTTTTTAATGAGAAACGTTTGCAATTGAGCACGCGATTAATCAGAAACCGATGGCAGAAGTGATGATTTAAAAATATTATTTCGATTAAGTGTAATATTTGTTACAGGCCGTTGTCCAAGCGAATCCGAAAAGCGCGCAGGCGCCGCCCGATGCCCCACCACGAGCTGCTAGCCCCACCACGGGTAAGCCGCTTACGTGCTTGCAAATTATTATTTTGTTAAATGTTAATTTTTGAAATATTAAAGACCCAAAGAAATTAGTTGCACATTCATCGATGTCAAATCACGTCATTACTCTGTGACGATGTAAAATACTGCATTAGAACTCGTTGAACTTTTCTTACATTTCGCGACGACAACCCATGCGAAGGCGTCTGTTCTTCGGTCAAAATATGTCGATGCCCGAATCTGTTGATGCGGATATGTTAACGTCAGATGTAGCAGTCGATGCTTGCTATATTGCGATAAACCAGTATCCATGTTGTTACAGCTCAACCCCTCACATACCCGTGGAGCGCGCAAGTCAGCCAATCTCCGCAACAAAACGCTCAGAGAACGGAAAAGGAAAAGGTAAAATAGACATCAAGTAAATAAACAGTCAATAGCTTAACACACTGACGCCCGGTTTCTGAAACACTGATCATCGTAGAAGTCAACTAATGCTGGCAACTCAAATAACATTTGCAAATGTTATTTGAGTTGCCACAAGGATGGTAAAACTCTTTGAATTGATCATTATAATCATTAAGAAGTTTATTCAATTCAGAGAGTTTAACCATCCTTTTAGCAACATAAATATCATATGAAAAGTCAATCGACAGCTGATTAGTTAACCTCTACGATGATCAGTGTTTCAAAAACCGGGCGTGAATAGCGTAAAATGAAGTAAATAGCAAAAATATTCAGTACGTAAAAAAAAGGCTATCTTTTTGGCTATATGATCCCAAGCTTCGTAAGAGCGCTACAAGCGTAAAATATGTGTCCGAAAAGTATCATTTTTATTTCAGCCCAAGGAAAAGGCGAAAGCGGAGAAGTCTTCGATATCGACGGGCGTCAGCCTGATGAAGCGGCTTGCCGCAATGAAGAAGTGCAAATCGCCCCCGCCCGTGAGCTACAGCATGGACAATCCCGTGTTCGAGGACGGGCCAGGGCCGTCGCTGGTGGCTCCGCATCCGGTGCACGTGCGGTAAGATCGACTCTATGTCTGCAGTAATAAGGCTCACTTTTACGCAAACCTGTATGGTAGGATGTTCGCGCTGGCTGGCCATTTCGTTGATTGTTATGCTATACAAAACGTCACATAAGTTTTTTTTTTATTTTGCTTAGTACTACTGTAAAATGTATACGGTAAAAATTATTCGGAATTGACTAAAACACTCTGTCTGATGATGTTTTTTTTTTTATTAGAGATTAAATTATTATTAACGTTTTTTGTTAAGGGTATTATAAATATTTTGTACTGTTTCGAGATTTTTTTTCTAGTATTAACATTTAAAGACTTTTTTACTATCATAATTGATTTCTAATATTATGATAGTTTGCAGTCAGTGAAACAGTCAACCCAGTGGCATGTTAACTTAATGTCATTTATCGTCTAATTTACGTTTAATACTAAAAGAAAATTACACACGAGACAGGTGATAAGAAAAATTGTGGCAATTTTCACAGTTTGGCATTTCATACTGTTTGTGTGTGCATCAGGCATCTGTGTGCATGCTTTTTTGTGTAACATTTTGTGTCTGTACTGTTTCAAATGCAGTTATTTAAATTCATTATTATATATAAATCTAAGATTAATAATATAAGGAATTACCAAAGAAACAGTAATCAACGTTATGTATTTAATATAACGATTATTTATTAAAATTTAACTTCACACTCCTAAATAATATAAATATTATAAATGATTTTATATTGCCCAATTGCATTGTGGCTACAATTATGATCTTGTTTGATGCAAATATACTTAGTTAATATATGATATACTAAACAGTATATTTTTTTTTTGCAAAAATGAAACAGTGCACAACACGTGTTGTCACATGCACTCATCAACTACATTGCATTTGTGTGAACTACCTCACCGACTAACTGTATTTAAGTGTGTTCACCGTACTCCTAGGAATCCACTACTGACCAGCACCTCACAATATTGTCGTATTAGTTTCAATTTATATCTCCCCCCATCGTCCTGTTTAGGTGCACCTGATTGTGCTTAGTTTAGACTACCTATAGTACTCTGAGATAAATATTGCTCATTCATATTTGGAACGAGAGAATCGGCTAATTTAGACTTCGTAGAGCGTTATCTATGTCGCACGAAGCACTAACAGAGAGACACAGTGTGTGACGGAGATAATGAAAGAAAGAAAGACAGAAATATTTATTACGGCGCATTACATTATAGGGAAAAAAAAGAAATAACATTAGAATTGTAAAATGTATGCACCAAAAAGGTCTCCGCTCAGTATGTAGCCCTGGCAGACAATACCACGGCACTGGTTTTCTGCGGATACCTTGTAAGATTGGCGTTCAGCTCCATGCATACAGCCAACAAAAATAATGCTCTACGAAAGTAACGGATTGTCTCTTTCTAAAGATTTCTTGTTTGCACATTATAAATCATTTAATCTAATGTTGTACCAATTTTGATGTTGAATTAGCCCCCCCCCCCCCCCCCCCCCGTAGTTTTAACATAATCGCTACTTTCCAATTGTTTTAATGGCGGCTTTTTTCTATAATTTTTGAATAGTTGACGTATCCACTTCCACAACGTTATACCTTCATCCGTCCTTTTGTACATAAAGTGTCGTGTTGGCTTGTTGATTGATAGTTACTCTTTTGTTACTAGGACTCTTGAATGTCTGAGGTCTTTATTATTTCTCGTCCGTAAGCCGAATCTCGAATAAGCATTTTTACTGTTGACCTTAGCTAAGGGTGACACTGAAATAGTCTTCTTTACTCTTGGTAGTTATATTTTATTTACTTTCGTCTTAGGTGCATTTTATTCTTTCTTTTATAAATATTCTTGTTCACTGTTTTATACAGTTATGAAGGATAATATGCTTAAATTGCTTATTCGATCACATATAATGGGTGATCGTAGTGAGGGGGAAGGTTATAAGGTTATTCTGTCAGATATTTTTATAACCGATATAACAGACTTTTCGGCTTTCATAGCTCCGTCGGTCATCTTATTGGCATAACGGGCGTTCGCAAAGCGGGTACAGTCACAGGCATATGTAATAGCGCGTACAGCTGACGTGAAAGCGTGTACCGTCGCGTGCAAAAGTGGGTACAGGGCGAACATTGTTTGTGTGGCGACGGCGCAGGTCTGGCTCGTGCCCGTCGCAGCTGCTGCGCGCCCTTCCTGCGTCCGCGGGGCCCGGGGGGGCGGGGGAGCGAGCGAGACAGAAAGAGCGCGCCGCGCTGCTCGCACTGCACGACCAGCGCCTGCACAGGTTCGCAATAAACGGCGCGCTTTCGCAACGAGCCTTCCGGAACACTCTGGAACCTTCTGGAACTTTCCACGGACACGATTGATTGCGTAGTATCGCGTATTCCATTCTGAAGCTTGCGCCGCGGTGTTAAAGCTGCGATTTGCATGACTGCTGACGGTGATGGTGGGAGTATGTTTACTGTTTATTTTTTTAATGGGAACTATTTTTATTTATTTTGGTACTTGGTGATAAACAAAAAAATAAATAAATTGTAAATTTTAAAAAGTGAAATTGGGTATTTGGTCTGTGTATTTCATTTTATGAATAATAAGCGTTAGAAATTAACCTATTTGACAAGATTAAAGTAATAAAATCTGAAAATAAAATTAATTAACCATAGTAAAATCTGAAAATAAAATTATATTTTTATATTTCCTTGCCTGTCAACGATTCCTGGTACTTTTTAGTTTAGGGCCCATATCAATGGAAAATCATTTGCGTTCTGTTTAAGAGGCTAATACGAAACTAAATATCACTGGGTTAGTCTTGGGTCACTATTTAACACTGTAACCTACACACTAACCACTGTAAAATGTTCGTGATGAAAATTAATTTGTATAAAAAGTGAAAGGGAATGGAATCTGTTAATTTAACAAATACTTCCATTTAACAAAATACTTGGTGGTTGTTCAAAAGAGGATTTGAAGGCATATGTGCCTTTGTAACAGCTGGCATGGTAGAAATTTCAAAGACTCTTCCACCTCACTACTGTCACGTTTATCACTGTTATAACTTTTCGAACTTTCCTATGTTATTTAACTATTTTAACCATTTTATATTCATGATATTACGTAACACGATGACTCGTATGATTGTTTAATATTTATTCGACCTTTCTTGTGTTGCATCAAAACCTCCTAGTTGACTTTCTCTACTTTAACATTGTTATAAACTCGTACTTTCCTATGTAATTCAACAATTTTAACCGTTTCATATTCATGATTATTACATAAGATGATTTTTTTGACCTTTCTTGTATTTCATCAAAATTTCCTAGTACATTTTCTCCTATTCGATATTATTATATCGATTCATTGCACGTTATAGCTACGTTCTATTTCACACCCTAGTTCTCATGCATTTTAGAAATATTATCACTTTTCTCTCTATATCGTAAACGTAGTGTAATGCATTTAAATGATTAATTTTATCATTTTTATATTTTATGAACAACCTTAATTTTCGATAAGGAAGGAATAGGCTACTTGACTCATATCAAATTTGACCCCTTGAGTATTTCATGCAGTATTAGATATACAAAACCGAAATATATTGATTTCGGTTAATAAAAGTGCAAGATGACTGCACAATTTCAATTAAAAAATTGCTACTTTTATTTTTTGTTCTAAACGCTTAAAACGCTTCCGGCCATTATGTGACATCACATAACTTCAACACCGTTCTTAGTCATAGCAGTGTTACCAACTGTTCAAAAAAAATGCCTAAAATTTCCCCAAAAAAATATGGTAATATTTTTTTTATGTAATCAAATGCTGATTAATCATTTGAGACCTACTTTAAAAAAGTCAAATAGCCTATTGTTCTCTAGAGGTTATGTCTATTTATTTTTTAATTTGATCTTGTTACGAACGTGGGTGTATAAAGTAGAAAATTGGGGAAGGATAGATCGGTAACAATATCCTAGATAAACTCTATAATAAGGTCGTGATGATAACAAAACGGCGCATTATGTTCGTCATTAAATTCATGGTTATGCTTTGTTAATGAAATCCTTTTTCGTACACAACGGTTATTCATGATGACCTTTTATTGGCTTTCTGTTTTATTTTCCCTCCTTCATCCTCCCGTTGGTTTTCCTATAAAATAAATAAATAAATAAATAAATATACACGCTTTCCCTCCTTCATCCTCCCGTTGGTTTTCCTATAAAATAAATAAATAAATAAATAAATATACACGCAGAGCTAGCAACGAAGGCCCGTGGCAGAGTCAGCATCGGAAATCTCAATCGCTGGATGTGACGGTAGCACGACGCGACAGGGACAGGCATCACACGCAATCCGTCAAGGAGAGGTAAGAAAATGTCGTAATAGTTTTCATAGTTCTCTCTACCTAAAAGAGCCGTGATAGCTCAGTGCCCGGGCACTCGTTTTAAATTCAATATACCCGAGCAAACCGACTTCGATCCCCGGTGCCGGCAATAATGAAATTGTTAATTTCAAGTGCTGACTCACAACGTGCTCAGCGGTGAAGAAAAAAATCTTGAGGAAACCTGCATATTTTAGAAATAATAACAAAAAAAATAATTCTAAGATATGTGTGTTTAATTTGTAGCGAACCATAGATAAATATACATAGAACTCACTAGAAACAGACATAAAACTCATGAAACCACTCTTCTACCATTAAAATTTCACCATTTTTCTACGAAATTGCAACATTATGTTCAATAAAGACATTTTAGCTATCGGAGGTTTGTCAAACGATTATGAATAAAGATTTTTATCGAACGTTTGATACGCTTAAAAGACGTTTTAACTAATATGGGTTTATAGACATTCGATAAGCGTTTTATTACGAATAAGTCAGTTGGTCTTTTTAATGCCGCAGATTCCGCTGCATAGCGCCGTACCCCCCCAACTCGGAGTACGAGCTCGAGCTGAAGGTGGACGACATAGTGGTGGTGTCGCGGAAGCGCGGCGACGGCTGGTACAAGGGGACGCTGCAGCGCACGGGCCGCACGGGCCTCTTCCCCGCCTCCTTCGTGCAGAGCTGCCCGCACGAATGACGGCGCGGCGCCCCTGCCTCGCCCTGGCACTTCGCTACGCTGTTCTGAGCGCGTAGCCGTAGCGCCGCGCCGTAGCACGCTACGGCCGAGCTCGGTGAAGTTTATCTGAGTGCGTATCGAATGTGCGTTAGTTGCAGAGCGGTGCAGTTTTGTCGATTTTTATGAAGAACTCAGTGAAGTTTATCTAAGCGCTACGTCGTAGCAAGCTGCGGTCGAACGCGTAGTTGTAAACTCAGTGACTCAGTTTAATCTTAGTGACGTCGTAGGGCGCTACGGTCAAACTCAGTGAAGTTTATCTTAGTGCGTATCGAATGTGCGTTAGTTACAAAGCGGTGCAGTTATGTCGATTTCTATGAAGACTTCGTTATTGTAATCCGTTGAACTCGTTACGATCACGTGTTATATAAACTCGCTCGAGCACGCCGCGTGTAAACTCGCGTGCTTCGATTTCGCAGCTGCGTCATTAGCCACGTGTTTTATTTTCGTACTGTAAGTCTCGTGCGAGGTCAAATCACGTGAAGTCTACACTCGAAGACCGTGTACCGTCACGTGGTGCGCTGCGTAAACACTTTCCAGAGCTTTGAACCTTATGCAATTGTGATAGAGGTCGAAAGCTCTTGAAATCATTGCCGGTAGAGTTTGAAAAGTTTCGAAATTGTTTCTTCGGTGTTGCGTGGATTGTCACGTTCCCTGCGGTAAGCTTTTTCATACAGCGGTAAATTAAAGTTTTTTTTTTTAATTTTCATCGATTTTTTCGATTTTGTCGATTTTTAATTTCGCTCTTCTAGCCGCCCTCGGAGACTTGGATTAACAACTAACCGTGACTAATTAAGTTGAATTAAAAAGTTCAGTCACATAAAAATCAAATGTTAATTAAGATAATTTTACATTACGATATATTGAGTAGAAAACATGAAGTCCATTTTACTTTTTTTTAATTCTGTTTCTGTTTTGAATACCAGGAAATAGCTTAATATGGTAATAGCACGTGTTTTGTGATCCAAATTCCAGCTACGGAAACTCCGTTTGGAAAATTAGCAAATTTAATCGTAGCACTTTGTTTATTGACAGCTCTGAGTGCGGCCTATAAGTGGTGTATATGCATGTCCTAGAGCATTTGGTGAAGTGTAACGAAGCTCGCTTCGGCCCATTCTTGTACTTAACACCAGTAGAATAGACCGCGCCAAAAGAGAAGAAAAAATTGTGATCCCAAAACCGAAATACGAGATCCTTAAATATAAACATTATTATGGTTAGGGGGAACTCCCTTCTCCCAGCCCCGTATATTATGAACTCGCACCCTGTACTTACAAGCCAATAAAATGAAACCGAATAGTGAAGTTTTATAAATTATAATAGATTTGTAATATACTAATAGTTTTCTTTTCTACAAATGATGGATCATGAAATATTGATTTGTATTTTTTTATCTAATTCGTTAACACCTGTTTCTAACCTTTTTTGATTGTCAGTCGAATATTGTCATTTAGCCATTAGATTTACGAAAGAAAGAAAGTAACCACTCTATGCATCCGATAACTTATTTCAGTGTGGGACACACTTCAGTTTACTATGAGATAATCTTATAAAGATAGTTTAACTCTATCCTAGGCTAGTATTTTGACAAATTGCCATGATAGTGTCAACATTATTAATAAGCTGTATAGAAGAGATTGGTGTTGCCCTGATATTTAGTTTTCCCCCTTTTTTAGTTTCCATTGGAACTTCGGAAGAAAAAAAAGTATAAGAAAACCCTCTCCTGTTCAATAGCTATGTTGTGAACAAATATCAAGTCAATCCGTCTGCTATTTTTTGAGTTTTGTGGACACAAACACACGGAAGCTAAATTTTATTTTTTTCAATTTTTTGGTTTCGATTTTGAATTTAAAATGAAATCATTAAAGAAAAATCTTTATTGATTTGCGGTAACGTTATCAATAATCATTTAATTATTAAAGTATTATTAACAAAAATAACATTGCGGGCCAATGGAGAGTCCAGTGAGAGATCTATGTATTTTTATAGTGTTAGAGGGATCTTGTAAAAAATTAAAACTAACATAAATGCATATATGACATTAATGTTTTACTTTTAATTGTTGCTATTATAGAATGATCCAATGTGGTCTGGAAATTATTTGAATATCGCAGTATTTAAAATGTCATCGACAAAAAAGCATTTTCAAAGATGCAATTTTGTAAGAAAAATTTATGTAAATATAACGAAATGGTAATCTAAAGTTAGTAAATTTTATTTTCAATATAAACTTGAAAAATATTATATAAAAATTATTATCGTATTTTCTCGCGGGAATACGAAAACCGATACAATATAATGTCCTCTTAAATTACGGTTTGTATGAATTGAATTTATCCTGTCAATAGTATTTTACTATATTGTTTCATTTGTACTTGTTAAGCGCGCATTATTTACAGAAGGGCATTACTTATGATCTTTTTGAAATTTAAAAGCAACAGATGGCAATAAAATTTCCATTTTATATCACTATGAAAATATTTTTATTACAACTGAAAACAATGAATAAACTGCCTTATATGTGTGACGGCTTCAAATGTAATATAGATTAAAAAGTGAAAAAACAATCCACAAAAAAAAACGCTCCGAGCGTTTAACAAATATGTAGATAATAATATGTTTTCGCTGGAGGAGTGGCGGGAACGCATCCATCTTTCTCTTTCACTCTTACTATTGTCGTTGTGAGAAAGAGATGGATATATTTGCAATTTAAACATTACATTTAAGCATCTCCAGCGGCGACATCACCGATTATTAGGTACTCTAGCGTATATTATATTTTTAAACGTTTAGATATTATTCTTGTAACTTAGTGTAGGCGAATGTTTACGTTCGAAGTACCCGTTTTGGAATATTTTTATGAATTTACACCTTTTATTAGGGTCACTACGCTTATTATTTTTTAAAGAAAATTTTGTTTTTAATTTTTAAGGACACTGCCATATTAATCTTTCGTAGTAACGTTTTTATTGTAACATTTTGAGGTACCCATTTCATTATAGCCCTAGGTATTGAAAATCCATTTTAGAGTAGTATAGGAGAAATATTGAGATGTTGGAACCTGAAATTGCGTGTCAATCGACATACAAGACATCTTTATAAATAGTGAATAATAATTTATTTGCAAGCAAAATTTTCAAATGTGATTTAATGTGAGTTTTCCTATAGGTGACATTTAAATTGAGACTGTGCGTAAAATGTTTTGCTTTACCTTACCTTACATTTTGATAATTAATTATGTATGTACTCTTAACATTTAGTCTAAGATATTTTTTTATTTACGTATAATGTTACTGTTAATAGGTGACTTGACATTGGCTGGCCTTTGCTATACTGATTATTACAAATCTGTGAGTTTTGTGTGAGCTGGAAATATATTGTAGTGAAATAGGAGAAATGAACATTTTCTTAGAGCATTAATTAAAATCTCTCTTTTTATTTTTATATCTTTCACGCACATAAGTGTATAAACATAGTTTTTATATAAAAATCGTTTACAGTGAGAGCAATTACGTTTCTTTTTACGGTAAGCCATGTCATAAAGTAACCTATAAACGCATTGAACAGACTAAAAAAATTAAAACGGCTCAAGCATGTTCCATTCTTGTCCTGTAAATTTATTAAGTGTAAAAATAAAGTCGCAGTTGTTGCGACGCTAGTTTTCCGTTTGTCCTATTTATTGTTACGTAAGAAATGCTTAGTTAATGAACACTTCCAAAAAGAACTGATTCAGTCGGTAATCTATTTATTTATATTTGGTTCTATTTTTAAAATATTCTTCGCTGGTTGCGTTTTGAGCGAAGGTAATAACTTTGTTGTGCTTAAAAATCTCCCGCTTTAATATTTTCCAACTGCATCTATAAAGTTGTTTCGTAGTGTCGAATGTGTTTAAGAAAATAAAGATTTATTATATTTGTAACATCCTGTTTGTAATATTTGGTGGTTCTCATATTGTCTAAATTAAATTACATATATAAATATTTTCTGAAATTTCTTAGTGAAAGTTTCTAGATCCAATTTACAAATGCATTAAGGAAAATAGTATCAAAAATATTCCAAGAATCAAGATCGTAGTGTAGTTGGAGAATGTTTATTTTCTAAGATAGTGTTGTTTTATTTGTCGAATTTGTTTGTATGTTCACGTGTATTTAAGAAATAAGGGAATCATATCGAAGAGTTGATAGGTAATTTTGAAGAGGAATAAAGATTTCTTCTTAAAGATGTTGTTTTATTTTCCATAATGATTATTAAAGGGCCATATTCTGACTGTTGTTTTGTATTAGTCTCATGACGAAGGTTCACCGAAATCTAAACCTCTAATGCGAAATATGGTCGTGACTGACAGTATAAGTATACTTTCTATAATCTATGGTATATTTTTTGGGTTGAAAAAAAAAAAGAAGCTAATAATGTAAAGAAAGATATCAATTTGCCTGTCAATAAAAAGATGCTTTGCAAAACCTTCGTTTTTAATTTGTTACCTGTACCTTTTTTTGTTAATTTCCAAATAAGACATATTTTACGATTTACCCCATGATATTTTATACTACATATATGTTGTTAACGCACCCGGAGTGAAGTCACGAAAACGACCCAATTGGGACATTTTTTGAGAGATTTTTTTTCATAGCTAGAGCTTAAGTGAAAAACACTTGCCGTCATTTTTCTTATTGCTTTAATAACGCTATACTTTTTATACCATTCGAACGAAACGTGTGAATCTGTGCAGTAAATGTTTAGGAACGGGATCGCTTGAAGAGGTAGGGTCACGCAACAGTCTTCGCTGTTGCAAGAATGGGCAGGTCCCTCTGGGTAAATACCACGACCTCACGGAACCAGCGTGAAGAGGAAGTGCTATCTTCTGCGTTCCGTCTGTTCTGTTCTGTTCTGAGTGGGGTAGCCGGTGGCAACGCATCTGAAACACTACGGGTGTTGCAAATGTCCATGGGCGGCGGTTATCA